CACCGCCGCTGTTTGGGCTGCCAGCTGAAGATGCTCAGAACTCCCTCGCCCCTGCCCTGGACCTGGCTCCCACAACAGAGCACTCCCTCCTTCCCCTGAACTCTTGGAAGAGCTCTCCAGTTGTGCCTGCATCTGAATCCCACCCTAATAAACGCACCGTCAACCCTAACTTTACCAGTACTTCCTCATTGCTAAAACTCACCTCTTTTCCATTTCTCACCCCAAATGAGCTTCCCTGTCCCTAGCACACTGTTGACCAGTGACCACTCCCTGAAATACGTTCTTCATTCATTATTCTTTCCCTGGTTTCTCTTCCTCTGCTTATCCCTTAAATATTGATATTCGTCTGGGTTCTGGAAGGTTCCTCTTTTTTATATGCTATGTAAAAGCCCTGGGAAATCTTGTTCATGGCTCTTGCTGCTCACAAAGTATTTCCAATTTTCCCTCCTTCTGCACATGACCTAGGAGTGCAATTCCTTGACTCCTTGAACTTGGCCGAGGCCATTTAATTGCTCTGGCCAGTGAAATGTGACCTGTGTCGCTTGCTGGCAAAGCCTTAAGAATCAGTTAGTATGTAATTTGCCACATCATTATTTTCTTATCCCAGTGGTCATGAAAATGTGTTTCCAAGATGGGCCCTGAGGGACCGTGACCAGCAGGAGCTGCCACCCTGAGCCAGACACAGAACACGGGGAAAACATGACAAGCAGCAGTCGCCAGCGTGCGTCAGACAAGGAACATGAGTAACACAGTCCTGGGTGAGCACTGCGGAGCGCGAGGCAGTTTATCATCACAGCATGACTCAGCCTCTCCAGACTGATAACCACTACTCTCCAGAAATATCTCTTTCCAGCTCAATTTCTCTGCTGTCAATGAACTCCAATGTCTCCATGTCCCAATACGGCGTCTACTAAGAGAGCTGTCAGAATGGAGCCTTAGGAACATTTCTGCGACCTGAAGAAATCCAGTCAAGTGCAGGTAAGTATCAGATGAGATCTCCCCTGTACGTGTGCCATTTTGTTCGCACCAGCGTTCTCTGAAATCCAGGAGTTTGCTGGTTTACTAAGCAACAGAACACTGAGATGTCGTCTTCAGAAAACAATGTCTTATAAGCAATAAACAGTAATTTCCACCTTCCTGTGTCTATTAAATAGAGACAAATATCACAATTCTTTTCCATTCAACATGTATGAATGCGGAGGGTTCCCCTGGATAAATTACATGTTACCTTTCACCCAGTGTAGCTTGCTAAAGACATTATCCTGAATTTTATTCTTATAAAACCAGCATTTAACACTCAGAAATATTTAAGTACATATTCAAATTTATACATTCCATTTTCCTGTTAGGTTATGCGTCAGTTTATAAGATGTTTAAATACCAAATCTAAGGACAACCTTCTCCGGAACTTCACTATCTGCAGCGCTCTGTCTGGAGGGGCAGCACGGCTGCATGCCCAGAGCTTCACTATCTGCAGCGCTCTGTCTGGAGGGGCAGCACGGCTGCATGCCCAGAGCTTCACTATCTGCAGCGCTCTGTCTGGAGGGGCAGCACGGCTGCATGCCCAGAGCTTCACTATCTGCAGCGCTCTGTCTGGAGGGGCAGCACGGCTGCATGCCCAGAGCTTCACTATCTGCAGCGCTCTGTCTGGAGGCGCGGCACGGCTGCATGCCCAGAGCTTCACAATCTGCAGCACTCTGTCTGGAGGCGCGGCACAACTGCATGCCCGGAACTTCACTATCTGCAGCGCTCTGTCTGGAGGGGCAGCACAGCTGCATGCCCAGAGCTTCACAATCTGCAGCGCTCTGTCTGGAGGGGCAGCACGGCTGCATGCCCAGAGCTTCACAATCTGCAGCGCTCTGTCTGGAGGCGCGGCACAACTGCATGCCCAGAGCTTCACTATCTGCAGCGCTCTGTCTGGAGGCGCGGCACAACTGCATGCCCGGAACTTCACTATCTGCAGCGCTCTGTCTGGAGGGGCAGCACGGCTGCATGCCCAGAGCTTCACTATCTGCAGCGCTCTGTCTGGAGGGGCAGCACGGCTGCATGCCCGGAACTTCACTATCTGCAGCGCTCTGTCTGGAGGGGCAGCACGGCTGCATGCCCAGAGCTTCACAATCTGCAGCGCTCTGTCTGGAGGCGCGGCACAACTGCATGCCCGGAACTTCACTATCTGCAGCGCTCTGTCTGGAGGGGCAGCACGGCTGCATGCCCAGAGCTTCACTATCTGCAGCGCTCTGTCTGGAGGGGCAGCACGGCTGCATGCCCAGAGCTTCACTATCTGCAGCGCTCTGTCTGGAGGCGCGGCACGGCTGCATGCCCAGAGCTTCACAATCTGCAGCACTCTGTCTGGAGGCGCGGCACAACTGCATGCCCGGAACTTCACTATCTGCAGCGCTCTGTCTGGAGGGGCAGCACAGCTGCATGCCCAGAGCTTCACAATCTGCAGCGCTCTGTCTGGAGGGGCAGCACGGCTGCATGCCCAGAGCTTCACAATCTGCAGCGCTCTGTCTGGAGGCGCGGCACAACTGCATGCCCAGAGCTTCACTATCTGCAGCGCTCTGTCTGGAGGCGCGGCACAACTGCATGCCCGGAACTTCACTATCTGCAGCGCTCTGTCTGGAGGGGCAGCACGGCTGCATGCCCAGAGCTTCACTATCTGCAGCGCTCTGTCTGGAGGGGCAGCACGGCTGCATGCCCGGAACTTCACTATCTGCAGCGCTCTGTCTGGAGGGGCAGCACGGCTGCATGCCCAGAGCTTCACAATCTGCAGCGCTCTGTCTGGAGGCGCGGCACAACTGCATGCCCGGAACTTCACTATCTGCAGCGCTCTGTCTGGAGGGGCAGCACGGCTGCATGCCCAGAGCTTCACTATCTGCAGCGCTCTGTCTGGAGGCGCGGCACAACTACATGCCCAGAGCTTCACAATCTGCAGCGCTCTGTCTGGAGGCACAGCACGACTGCATGCCCTGCAATCTCCCCTGCTCTACAATCAGGAACACACTCTTCTCCCTGGGAGCTGTCTTGTGCATTCAAGATGTAATGCATGTAAAGTTTTAGAAAAGTGCCCACGACGTGGTAAGTGCTCTCCAAGCCAGAGCTATAACTTCTACTGTGAATCCCTATTGGGAAGGGAGGACTGAGCATGTATGAAGCACCAGGAAGATACTAGCCACTGAAAGAACACTTGTATATCAGGTTGAAAAGCTAACGTGGTAAACAGCAAGAATTAAATCCAATTCTGTAAAACTCCAAAGATGCCCTTTCAATTATGAGATACATTATGCCAACACTAAGCACATTTAGAAGACAATTTTTTAAGAAAGGAGAAGAAGAGAGGAACAGGAAAAAGAAGAGGGAGGGAAAGAATGCAGAGACAGCAGAATCTGGAAGAATTTCTAGCCCACAAGGTAGCTAGACAGTACAGAACCTATTGCCTTGCACAACCTAGTTATAACCATTTCTTAACCAGCAATGAGGGTTGGGTTCAACCCCACGCGAGTCCAATCCCACTTCAGAGGGAAGGATGAATGTGCTGAGAGAAGCACCAGTGTGCACCAAGGCTTGGGCACGGACTCAGAAGCGAGCTTCCAGGGCTGGATTCCAAAGCACAGTCGCAAAACCAAGAGGCTGTTCCAACTCAGAGTCAGGACCCTGGTAAAGAGCTTGATGGGTAGAGGTGGGAAGAAATAATAGAGACTGACTGGAGGAAAAAATGACAGAAAATAAGTTGAATGAAGAAAAAGATGGGCTAAAAAAGTCACAGTAAAAGGCAGGGTAACTTTTAAGATTTTAAATTCATATCGAAAATTAAATTTACTCTCAAACATCATCATAAATGTAAAAGTAAAAAGATTCATTTTTTCTTTTTACTTTTACATTTATGTAAAAGGAGATTTCGTTTCTCCTTTCTTAAAAAATTGCCTTCTAAATGTGCTTAGTGTTGGCATAATGTATCTCATAATTGAAAGGGCATCTTTGGAGTTTTACAGAATTGGATTTAATTCTTGCTGTTTACCACATGAGCCACCGTGCCTGACTACAAAACTAGAATGTTCTAATGCACAGCGGGACTGCAGGTACCCACCACAATGCCTGGCTAATTTTTTCATTTCTAGTAGAGACACTTTGAGGGGCTGGGATTAGAGGCATGAGCCACCATGCTTGGCCTGTCTTTTCAAAGAATTATTTAATTTCCACTGTGTTGTAATAGGACTTCCAGCAAAAAATAGCAAAAAATAACTTTTACTATTAATTGCCCACAGAGTGAGGCATAAATGCATGTGAAGATTTTTTGTTTCATTTAAATGCACACAAATTACATTTTAAATAAAAATGAGTAAAATCAATACTCAGGAAGAGCTTCTCGTTAACTGGACGTTAGCACATACTGTGGCTTCATCTCATGTATGGTATCATGAAGATAGCAACTAATGATGATTCGGACTTTCTGGTATAATTCAATTTACACACGTTAGATGCATAAATAACAATTTTAGAAATATAACCAATTTAGGATATAATCAGTCTTTAAAACTAAATTTTGGCTTTCAACATGCTTCTTATGAAATGGAAATAAATAAACTGGTCTGATACTATAACATCAAATTGAATACTAAAAGAAATTAATACAGATTCCTTTATTTTAAAATGAACCATCAACATAAAAGAGCGCAAATTGTAAAATAAACAGACTGAAGATAAGAAATTAGACAGCCACGATAAACTATCAAATTACAGGCAAATTATATATCTAACAATGAAAATTTAAGACACATATAAAACTGATTAGCCAAGCAATGATACTTTTGGAAATTCTTCAATATGAGAATGTTGTTATATAAATACAGATAATTTATATCCTAAGTCACCAACATTTTTGAAAGTCTATTTTAAGAAATATATTAAGCCAAAAGAATGAGCTATTCAGAACTGTGCAGACCTTCTTACTGAAAGGAAAAACAAGGTCATCAAAGCAGTCGCTCCTCAATCTAGCCTACCTTATTTTTTGGACTGGATGTGTTCATTACACTTCGAGTCTCTTTTCCAGTATAAATGACAACACCTATTACAGTACCTGTGAAAACATGAGAGTGGTCCTTATAGAAATACTTTAAAGGTGAGTAAGATAACACTTTCTAATTAACTGTTTTGATGGAAAGCATTACCACACTATTTTATTTTATATAAATGTATCCAATAGTGTATTTATTTTGGCTAATTTAAGAAAATCTAATCTCAGCTCTGAAAATGGACTCTGATAAAGTCATACAAATGTACCTACCTATAACATTAGAAAATGTACTAACATTGCTCTCACTGACAACAGAAAGAATGACAATGGTCTTTCACTACTGTCTACTAAAATGCTGGTTCTATCACTGAAGGTTAATTAAGAGGTTAACTGATCAAACTTGGCCTTTGACTTGCAAACAAACGTGGTACCAGCTGAACCACTTTCTTTCAGTATATTTCCACTGTAAAGACCAAAATATTACTAAGTATCAGTGACAGCCTTTGCTAACATTTCAAAATGTATTCAATTAAAATAGAAGTATTACAAAAAAACAATGTCTGATTCTGCACTTAGAAGCTATTACTCTCTTCTGTACATAAAAAGATACGATAATTTTTAAACTTAAGAGAAAATAACAAAATACTCTTGGAATGACCCAGAGATTGCAAAGGCTGAAGGGCACTTACTTCTAGAACGTCAGTACTAAAGACCATGTAAGTCTCTTCCTGAAACTACAGCCACTTATAATTTATATTCCTAATTGTCATCCTTAACTTTTGTAAATTTTGAAGGTGAGAAACAATTAAGGTGAGAAAGTATATACACATAATACTCAGTGCAATTATCACTACAGAACTGACTATAATAATTATACAAAAACCATTTGATGTCACATTAACTTGTGTGAAATTTAGAGCATCATAAGACAGGCTCTTTGAAGTAAAGATGACTGATATGAACTCTCTCAGCTTTCTGTGAACCTTGATATGTTACATATCATATAGCTTACACCTTCCTCTCTAGGAAATCTCGGAAGGAGGAAGATGTAAAGTATTCCCCAGCAGTGATATGTGCAGAGATGATATATATTTCTCTTTTGATTGAATGTCACTGAGGAAGTGTGAAGCTTCAGTCTGTGAAAGTTCATGAAGGCATGGCCAGCTCACAAATGCCGACACACAAATGCCGTCTTGACTATTATCCACATAAACTTCCGAGATTAGACTACACTTACTATGCAAAGACATATCAAATATATAATAATACAATAGTACTATAAAAAGCTTTCAAAAAAATCATAGAATTACTTTCTATCAGTGAAGCTAAATACTAAATATCATCTGATCAGAATTTTCTGTTTCGTCACTTTAGTTTAACTTAATCAAAATATAAACATCCTGCTAATGTTAAATTATCACAATGATGTAACAAGGCAAACTGCAAAATTAATTTTTTTAATGTTAACAGAATGAACAAATCTCAGAGAAGTATTTCCAAGAATTAATCAAGCTAGAAAACCTTGACCTAAAAGCAGATTGATGAGCAAAGTGGATTCTAGAGTGGCCTTACAATTTACAGTACCAAAATTAAATGTGATAAATGACAAGGCATACATAACAAATTTTTAACAGAGGTCCTGATACAATATTTGTATAGTCTGTTAACGTTTGCTAAAGGCTCCCATAAGTATTCTCTCACTTGATTCTCATGAAAAATGAATACTCACTGGAATTAAATAAATGAATTTTTCTGTCATGCTTTTTAATATGTGACATAACTAGAATCAGTACAGAAAGAGTTGGAACATTTTCCATTCTCAGGCTAAAAGATTGAATCAAACCCATATACAAGGCAAAAAGAACAGAGGAAAGGGGTTAATCACGGATTGTGAAAATGGGACACGAAAGGCCAACAAAATATGACAAACATTTTGTGTTGTGTCAGAGGAAGCTGAACATGACGAATATAAAACGTCACAAAGATTTCTCAGTAAATAAAATACGTGAACAGGAGAATTCCAAAACTTAAATCCATATTTTCAATGTAAAATCAAGATCTACCTCCCTCACAACGGGCTCCAACTGGAGAAACTTCTACATCAGAAAGAACTGAGTTCAGGACTATGTTGGTAGATTAAAACCACAACCGGCCAGGAGCGGTGGCTCACGCCTGTAATCCCAACACTTTGGGAGGCCACGGTGGATGGACCACGAGGTCAGGAGTTTGAGACCAGTCTGGCCAACAAGGTGAAACCCCATCTCTACTAAAAATACACAAAATTAGCCAGGCGTGGTGGCAGGTACCTGTAATCTCAGCTACTCAGGAGGCTGAGGCAGAAGAACTGCTTGAACCTGGGAGGCAGAGGCTGCGGCAGCTGAGACGGAGCCACTGCACTCCAGCCTGGGCAACAGAGCGAGACTGTCTTGGTGTGGGGGGACCACAACCACAACAACAAACCAGTGCTTAATAGGACCCTAGAAATACTGGTGGTCCAGTATTCACAATGAAATAAAAAATTTAACTCCATTTATTGCAGTAAAACATTTAAAAAGATTTAGGAGCACTTAATCTTCAAAGCCAGTGATTATATTTGCCTGATCCATAACTGCACACTTCAAATTGACTACAGTTAAAAATGAATATAAAATATTCAGATGCTTTGGGTCCCAAAAAGGAGGCATAAAATATGACCACACTTACTCCTATGCCCCACAGACCCTGTGACTAGGGCTCTTGAGACTTAGCCTGCTTCTAAAGCTTCTAAAGAGGCTACTATGTGGTTCAAGTCTGCAAGGCATTCTACAGTCCAATTCTACGTCCAACTTCTGTTCAGTCACAATTTCACATAACAGTTACTTTCTCAGTTATGATGTGACTTCCTTGCTGCATGCCATATAGAAAATTTCATGCAAAATTATACCACCTTCTAATTGACAGTACACTTGTATTTTAAGCAAACAACTTTCATGATGCAAAGCAAGACAAAGCATGCTAACAAGGTCAAATTTTGTAGAAAAAGATACTCTCCTTTATATAAATATTTCTAATTTCTATCACAAACATAATCCAGCACTTTAAAACAAGTAGTGCACTTAACATTTCCAACGATCAGCCTACTGCAACACTTCTAGTTACTATTTGTAAACACTGATATATTTAATTTGCAGATAATAAACCAATCCTCACAAATTCAAATTAAGATGATTCATAAGAAAGTTATATAAAAACACAAAATATAATACCTAGACCACTTTAAGAAAACAATTAATGGCCTTAAGCTATTAAATCAAAACAATGTGAAATGCTTACTAAAAAGAAGTAAATACGTATTTCACGTGTGTAATGAGAGACAGGTAGTGACATATCCATGTATTTGCTGACTATCAATTATACAACACAAACCTGCTAGATAACATTATCGAAAGCAGGCAGGGCCTCACACACCAGCCTCTGACACTCTCCAACTTACAGATGCCCTCCAGGAGCCAACTGCCACAGAACCTCAGCGTACACTGCTCCCTGAGGCAGGCGTTCCTGGGCTGACCCCATAGCAAGGTAGACACTGAGACTACACACACAACTCTTACCACACACCAAATCCAGAAAAACTGATGACAAGTGTGCACAGGGTCCCAGGATGTAAAAAATCTAGACCAAGACTGGCATACAGAGTACAAAGGAGACCCCCAACAAGAGGTCTAGAATCCACACAGCTGAGAGACAGACACAGGAGACCCACACCCAGGCCTAGATCCACACAGCCAGGACACAGAGACACAAGAGACCCACACCCAGGCCTAGATCCACACAGCCAGGACACAGAGACACAGGAGACCCACACCCAGGCCTAGATCCACACAGCCAGGACACAGAGACACAGGAGACCCACACCCAGGGCTAGATCGACACAGCCAGGACAGAGACAGAGGAGACCCACACCCAGGCCTAGAGTCCACACAGCCAAGACACAGAGACAGAGGAGACCCACACCCAGGCCTAGAGTCCATATAGTCAGGACACAGAGACACAGGAGACCCACACCCAGGCCTAGAGTCCATATAGCCAGGACACAGAGACACAGGAGAACCACACCCAGGCCTAGATCCACACAGCCAGGACACAGAGACACAAGAGACCCACACCCAGGCCTAGATCCACACAGCCAGGACACAGAGACACAGGAGACCCACACCCAGGCCTAGATCCACACAGCCAGGACACAGAGACACAGGAGACCCACACCCAGGGCTAGATCGACACAGCCAGGACAGAGACAGAGGAGACCCACACCCAGGCCTAGAGTCCACACAGCCAAGACACAGAGACAGAGGAGACCCACACCCAGGCCTAGATCCACACAGCCAGGACACAGAGACACAGGAGACCCACACCCAGGGCTAGATCGACACAGCCAGGACAGAGACAGAGGAGACCCACACCCAGGCCTAGAGTCCACACAGCCAAGACACAGAGACAGAGGAGACCCACACCCAGGCCTAGAGTCCATATAGTCAGGACACAGAGACACAGGAGACCCACACCCAGGCCTAGAGTCCATATAGCCAGGACACAGAGACACAGGAGACCCACACCCAGGCCTAGATCCACACAGCCAGGACACAGAGACACAGGAGACCCACACCCAGGGCTAGATCCACACAGCCAGGACAGAGACAGAGGAGACCCACACCCAGGCCTAGAGTCCACACAGCCAGGACACAGAGACAGAGAAGACCCACACCCAGGCCTAGACACCACACGGCTGGCCCACTGAGTGACCAGAAGACTTGCACCCAGGTGTAGGTCCACATGGCCAGGGACTGCCCTCTGACAGCCCTGTCATACTTTTGCTGACCCTGCCTTAGGGAGCCCAGCTTTCCTTCCAGGTTTGTAGCAACTGAGCATCAGGAACACTCCTTCGTATGCTCCTCACTATAATAAACATGGCAGTTCTCCAGGACCTGGTTCTGTATTTTAGAGAACAAGTTTTCTAAATCCACATGGGAAGCACAACCTCAGGCAGCACAACAGGCTCCCTGTGTCCTGCCTTGGGTCACCTCTTGTCTGGTGCATCTGTCTGTCATGTCTAACTGGAGTCCTGGTTCCCAAGCATTCAGAGCTCTAGGACAGGGGAGAAGGACCGAGTTCACCTCCCCTTCAGAGTCAACTTGAATTCAACTGAGATACAACTTTTAAAGGTTAAGAGGAATTCTAGACTTAGAATCAATTACAAAGAATACAAGGGTGCTTAGGTTACTCCGGAAATCTTGGAGTGTTTTAAACATTCCTTAGGATATAGCATGTGATAATATACAGAATTTGGTAACTGTTCATACTAATAAGGCTTTTAAATAGATACCTATGCATTAAGAGTTGAAATGAAAGAAAAAGCTTTCATTTAAAGATGTTTGAGCACAAACTAACATTAAAGGCACCTTACTTAAGCTTCTCGAGTGGATGGTTTAAAAGCCATCTTCATGCCCACTAGGAAGACATGGCACTGAATGCTAGATGGCAAGGATGGGATAGGGCTAGCATGCTGTAAGGCCCGATTCCTGTCCAGCTAGCGGTGCCCACTTGCCAAGGCCATCAAGAGAACTGAGGTCAGGATGTCTCAAAAGCATTAGCTCAAGGAGCTTCCTTCTTCCTCAGGAGAAGGGCCCCAAATCAACAGTGCTAGGGATCAGTAACAACTTTTAATTCACGTTTATACAGGCCCCAGCAAACAAAAGATGAAATGTATTTTAAAAAAGAGAAGCATTACTATCTTCATGAATGATCCTTAATTAACAATAATCAATATCAATAAGATGGAAAAACAGGCTGCAATAACTACATATGGAAAAGGTAAGCCTTCTCCCCATGTGTCAGCTTCTGAGTCCTGCATCATTAATGCTTTTGTATCACTACTGAGGCCAAGCCCTTGAGGACACTGGCTTTAGAGGAAGGTGCAGCTGAACTCCATTCTGGTCCAGGTGCAGCCTAGCTCTGTGGGAACTGGCAAGGGTAACACACCTCCCAAGGGCAGCCATTCAGCATGAGGCCAGGCCAGCACTGACCATACTCACCACCTAGCGCAGAGACTGGTAACACTCATGCCTCTCAGCAACACCAAGACAGCAGCATGAAGAAAGCTTCAGGGCAGGTTTCGCTGGATGAATGTGCCTGCCCATGATGTGAAGACCCCTCCCTGAGGCCTACAGCGCCCAGGGCCTGTGTGTCTACCCCTGAGATGTGCTCCTGGTGTGAAATCCCCCCATGAGGCCTTCAGAGCCCAGGAACCACAAGTCCACCCCTTGTCATCCTGGTGTGAAATCCCTCCCTGAGACCTACAGAGCCCAGGGCCCATGTGTCCACCCCTGAGATGTCCTCCTAGTGTGAAGTCCCTCCCTGAGGCCTACAGAGCCCAGGGACCATGTGTCCACCCCTGAGATGTCCTCTGACTGTGAAATCCCTCCCTGAGACCTACAGAGCCCAGGGACCATGTGTCCACCCCTGAGATGTCCTCCGACTGTGAAATCCCTCCCTGAGACCTACAGAGCCCAGGGCCCATGTGTCCACCCCTGAGATGTCCTCCGACTGTGAAATCCCTCCCTGAGGCCTACAGAGCCCAGGGCCCATGTGTCTACCCCTGAGATGTGCTCCTGGTGTGAAGTCCCTCTCCTAGGCCTACAGAGCCCAGGACCTGCCCTGCTCACCTCTGAGATCTCTTTATGGAAAACCATCCTTATTATCTCTCTTTATATGTTAAGAAATTTATATATATATACATACACATATATATGTATGTATAAATGTTTGTATAACATTTACATATGCAAATACAATGTTATATATGTATATATAATATTTATATATTTAGACACAATTTATATAAAAATCATCAAACACCCACAGAATTGTCCCCTATTAAAACTGTCATATACCCGTCAAGCATTTTTTAAAGATTAAAACTCTAGGATAAGATTAATCCTCTTTCAAATTCTGTCCTCCCAAAAGCTAACACGTGTCCTCCTCTAGGAATCTGTTGTGTAGCTTTGCACACCTGCAGGCCAAATTTTAAACACAAGCACACAAAGCTGCCCTGTGGTGACACCTTCCTTCTCCATGGCCAGGCACACTGGCCCTTGGATCCTTTTCTTCGAGGTGCTGTCTCTCAGCACTTGGCTTCTGCCACGAATGCTCCTCACACTGTTCCTGCCACCCATCTCACCTTGCGGCATCTGCATACTCTTTAAACCTAATTTAAGTGTTTCTTCTTCAGAAAAGCTGTCCCTAGACCTGGTCTATATAAGCTTCCTGAATTACAAAATGTGCACAGCACTCAGTATTTGTGATACTCAGCATGGTAACATTATCTAGTACCGCTTTCTTAGTCTCTGTCCACAAAACCATAAGCTCGCCCAGGACAAGATCTGTAACTGCCTTGCCCCAGACCACATCACCGTGCCTGGTGTAGAAAGGGGACTGCATGCACACGCATGGGGACTGAGTGGCATCTTGAAGAGAAGGGCTGCCAGCACTGGGCAGCACTGAGAAGACACAGCTCCAACAAGTTTAGCCTTGCACTCGTGGCTGCCATCACCTTTCACGACCTCTAGAGTTCCCTGTTGCTGAGCACCATCATCGGCACCAGCGTCAGCACCAAACCATTCCTGCTCAACGCCCTCCCCAGCATCACCGTCAGTGCCACATAATTTCTCATCAGCTTCCTTTCAAACGTCATCCTCAGTGTCAACTAGTATCTGATAACATGATATATCTGACGTCATCTACCTCTCACAGCACACCTGGCCTCTTTCAATACTTTTCTGTTCCACAGTCACTCTGGCCAAGCTCTCCTCCTGCCAACCCTTGTTGGAGGAATTTCAGACCCACCTAAAACCATCACTGGCTTCCCAAGCTCTTCCTTGGGGCCTCTCATTAAGGAACACTGACACATCCTGGGCCCCCCTGTACCACTCGACAGGAGAGAGAACCTGTACTATGAGATCGGGGCAGGTGAGGGGTCCCCCTATTCTGGCCCCACCCGCTCCTGGAGTCTTTTTCACTCCATGCCCCCTGACAGGCTCAATGCCTCCTACGGCATGCTGGGCCAATCGCCCCCACTCCACAGGTCCCCCGACTTCCTGCTCAGCTACCCACAGCCCCCTCCTGCTTTCCCCCTGACCACCTTGGCAAAAAAAAAAAAAAAAAAAAAAAAGCAGGTCAAAGACGAACGGAACATGCCTGTCCTCTGCAGGAAGGCTGCAGCGCCTCTCCCTGTATTCGGCCTTGAGAACCCTGTGCAGCATCTGACGAGCAGCACAGGCCTTGGCACAAACTCCCAGGACTGTCTCATACCCACTGAGCTGCGGTCTGCATTTAGTAAGGTCCCTAAGTATTTCAGGGCACTGTGAGAAACACTTGTTTGGAGTCCCTGGACAAAACAAAGCATCATCTATTGGGAGCAATCACACGCAGAGGAAAATGTTTTCCTTTCCTCACCTGATGCGACAATGGTGCTTGCCCACAATGTATTTTCTATGCTGAGACTTTCATGAATGGGCGGGTCACTGTCTTCCTGTGCAGGGAAACAAAAAGAAACAAAACTGGCAAATTAGTGATTGTTCATGATTCATGCCTTCCATATCCCCAGTGTTAGAAACAGGTCCACAAGCTCAATCCAATTCAACAGCAGTGCAAAATAAAAGTCAGAAAAAAGGGATTATCCTGTAACCCAGCACTTTGGGAGGCTGGGGCGGGCAGATCACAAGGTCAGGAGATCAAGATCATCCTGGCCAACATGATAAAACCTCGTCTCTACTAAAAATACAAAAAAAATTAGCTGGGTGGGTATGGTGGAACCTGCCTGTAATCCCAGCTACTCAGGAGGCTGAGGCAGGAGAACCACTTCAACCCGGGAAGTGGAAGTTGCAGTGACCTGAGATCCTGCCACTGAACTCCAGCCTGGTGACAGAGTGAGACTCCATCTCAAAAAAAAAAAAAATATATATATATATATATATTTGAAACTACAAGTTTAAAGAACTCCTGTAATCAATTGTTTTTAGTGCTTAACATTAATACACAAAATAATTCTAAATTTTCATGAAAGTACTATATCTTCTAATATTTATTTATGAGGTCTTATTATGTTGCTCAGGCTGATATCAAACTCCAGAGCTCAAGCTATCCTCCCATCTGAGACTCCCAAGTAGCTGGGCTTACTGGTGAACCCAGCACGCCCAGCTTATTCAACTACATCTTCAATACATCATTTAACAACACTCCTGCGAAAGTAGAAAATACTGGCACAGATATAACCACAAATCGACTCTTCAACATTTCTTTTGCATGCATAGCATAATTTCCTCTCCCTGTCACTCGTTAAAAACGAGGGCTATGCTTTTCCAGTGTACATGTATTCATGAGAGAGAAAATGATTCTGTGGATATTGTTCGAGAAGAAACATATTTTTTTAAATGTCATTTCTCTTAAATTCCTCTTTAAAAGTATGCACTTATTGCACTGAATATTCTTAATTAAATAAAATTCAACTAAGTTATATGATGCTAATTACCTAAACAGGTAACAAACAAATATGGCCACACATCAGTATCACAATAGGAATACATACAGTCTAGTTTTACACTTACACTTTTAGTATTCATACTCAGAGATGAAAACTACAATTTAAAATCTGGAAATTCTTTCATCTTAACCTAAAGTCATAGCCTGCACTGTGGTTATGGAAGCATTACCAGAATAAGGGAGTGCAGGGTCACAGCCCTGCATCTAGAAGTAACACAGGAAAGACTTCCCGTGTGGGAGGCGATGACCTCGATGTCTGCACAGAGTGAGGGCCATACACTGCCCTGACTGTTGGGCGTCTCCCGTAAAGTAATGCCACCTCCACAGAACTGCATTTTATTATGAGATGATAATTTGCTATCGAGATACATCTTTTAAAAAAAGGAATCAAATTTGGGAAGGAAGGAAAGAAACAGAAAACATATTTTCCAAAATAAGCTGCATGTACAAAATACATTTATGCTACTGGTGTTTTCCTTCTATTTACTTATCAAACATCTTTCAAATGATGTAAGTTGTGGCCATTTTGCTTATCACTTGGAAGATATCTGCTTGATAGCTGATTCTCTCATACACTTTATTTATTTATTTGTGAGGCACAGAACCTAAACCAATCTTAACAGTTTCCAAAATATTTCCCCTCATATTGCAATTATTTGGAAACTATTTTCAATGACATTTAATTTCAGGAAGGGGTTTGGCCTCCAGTTGCCTCTTAAGCCTCCAGTAGCAAGCCCAGTAGTTGGAAAGCTTCCTGCAATGCAGGTGCAGCTCAGGGTCAGACTCCCAGGGCCCCTAGGAGCATGAACTTTTCGCTACGTCCCTTCACAAGAAGGCGACCTGCTGACCTGAAGACTGGCCTTAGCATTTCACCCTTTGGGAGAGTAAAAGCTATGATGATAGAATTGTTTATGACACAGCTGGAGTGCGGCTTCTTTGGGAAAAAAAAATCATTTCAAAAATAAACACTGGCATTTAACTAAACAGTGCCTTGGTTACATCATTAACAATACGGTCTCAGTAGGCAGAAGTGCAATGCCAGCCACAAGGGACACAAACAGGTCTTCTCAGTGACTTCAATGGTCTTAAGGAAGCAGGTGGCCTACAGACGCGGCATGGATGGAAACAATCTGTCTATACCATGTGCTTACTCCAGCATGGACCTATTACTATTTCTTCAGATTCGCAAATACCTTCGATTCTACATTCCCTTAGAAATTCCTTCCTTCAATTCCAGTTTATCAAGTACAACATGTTACACACTTTGCTGTACTTAGCAGTTACAACTTATAAAAATCTAATAATTAACCTGTATGGAGATGCAAAATACTTATAGTTTCATACTAATATATTTACAAATAGCAAATAAACTGGATCAAAGTAAGCTCCTGGACAGTAGCTAACATGCTACCATTACAGTCTTTAAAATACCTAACAATTTATCCAATACTGAGATAAACAATCCAGAAAAACTGAGTTTTCCCTATGACTTTTATAAGTTTGTAGAACAAGAAAAATATCAACTTAAAAACAAAAGCAAGTATCCACTATGGATTAGACTACTTTGTAACTGAATTTAGGACTGCACCAAAATGGCCGATTTCTGATTCATTCATACAACTGGTGTTACAGTCTAACTTAGCTTAGCACTGCTGAAGAAACCAAAAAGATACATGTCCTCATTGCTACTTCCCAGACACAGTCCACACGGTGTATCTTTAACTGCTTGTGGGTCTAGGGGTTCCAGCACTGGCACAGCCAACTGAGCATACAGTTGGCATTAGGAAGCCAAATACTGAATTCCATAGTTATCACTTCAAAGCATGAAGCAAATACAATTTTCATCTTCAATAAATTCTGAATTTTATTGTATCAGAGCAACTGACATGTTCCTAATCCCATGTTTAATGGGTGTTTTATCTTCCTAGCACCTAGCACAGAATAGGCAATAAACACTGTCCAATAAATAAAAGAATACTCATGAACTTCTTTTTCTAATTTCCACAAGAATCAAGATGTCTTTCATCTCCAGTGCCCACCAGCATGATGCTATAATGGGTCATAGGCCTGCAGGTACTCTAAGTTACCTTCTTTTATGAAGTATCAGGTACCTGCTCCTCCATGCCCTCCTGTCTCTACAAAGCATCAGGTACCCTCCTCCACGCCCTCCTGTCTCTACAAAGCATCAGGTACCTGCTTCTCCACACCCTCCTGCCTCTATGATGCATCAGGTACCCTCCTGCCTCCACAAAGCAACAGGTACCTGGTCCTCCATGCCCTCCTGCCTCTACAAAGCCTCAGCTACCCGCTCCTCCAGGGCCTGCTGCCTCCTTTTACTCTAAGCCTTCTACCCCATGAGGCATCAGGTACCTGCTCCTCCCGGTTCTCCTGCCTGAAAGTACCCAGCAGAAATTCACACAATTGTATTCCCTTTAAACTCTTCCTAATGCTTCACTCAATATGAAAGTTTAATTGTTGGTGCATGTCAGTATTTTCTACTAATCTTAAAGTTCAAGAGATTAAGGACATTAAAAAACAAAAATTTTAGGTTTTCTCAAATGTAAACAAAAGGTTCTATATAACTTAGTTTTAGAAATTTTAGCTGGTTTCTTGTTACTTTTCCATGACCGTTTTTACTTATAAATATTTCTGTCTCTAGCACAATTTTATGTTGAAGAAAACACAATAGCTATGCATTTTTCAATTCTGGAATAGCAATAATTGACTATGAATACTAAACCTTTTTCTAATATGGAGAAAATCATTCCAAAAGATAGTTTTTTGCCAGTCTCATGTAGCACAGAATAAAAACTGGGAAGCCTGAAAATAAATTATCTCAAAAATATTCTGTTAGCTTTCCTTCTCTTTAATGGTCTATGGTGTCTAGATACAATCTGCCTCGGTGAGGACACCAGTGTCACCATCTCACACTGTTCTCTCAACTGTGTATCCTGCTTAACAAAAAACAGAGGTTTGCTTTGTTGAAGGAGAGTATCTCTGTCGAAGAAGATATGAACAATGATAAGTGTGCTATGGTTTGCAAAATAAATTACAGCAGAAAATACGTTCTCAAAATGACTAACTGGGAGTGTGACTATAAATTCCTGAATTTAGGAATGGAAACAAAGGACGACAGACACTGATAATATTTCAAAACTGGCTATAATTTTCAACTCCAAACTTCCAAAAGAATCTGCCTAGATTTTGAACAATAACTAAAAGTAGTGATATCAATAACAATCATATGAATCATGCATATAATGAAAAGCGTTATAGAACCAGTAATTTAGGGTGTTCTCCCTTCATGAGGAAAGCGGAAGCAGATGCTATCACAGCAGCACATCCACATTAGATACCACACAAGCCTCAGCATGCATACTGGGTATACTACCACAGGAACCTTGAATTAATGGGCACTAATTCCGTATTTTTTTTTTTTAAGACAGGGTCTCACTCTGTCACCCAGGTTGCAGTGCAGAGGCACAATCACAGCTCAGTGCAGCCTCAACCTCAAGCTCGCAGGATCCAGTGATCCTCCACCCCAGCCTCCCAAGTAGCTGAGGCTACAGACATGCGCCAGCTGTAGCCACCTCACTAAGCCAATTATAAAAAAAAATTTTTTTAAATTGGAAATCAGGTCTCCCTATGTTGCCCAGGCTGGCCTTGAACTCCTGGGCTCAATTCCCACCCCAGACTCCCAAAGTGCTAGGATTACAAGCATGAGCCACCATGCCTGGCCAATTTGTTCTAATTCTTATTTAAGTATTTAAATTGACACAAAAGAAAGCTATATTTTGTCTTATATATATTACCGTATAAAAAAGAAAAATAAGTGAATACTACTTAATGCCAAGATGAATTTGAATTTATCTGAATCCCATTTCTAGTTACAAACGAGTTATTTATCATGTCTTTATTTTCTTCCTTTTTGAAAAATACACACAAACATCAAAACTTTTCATCAAAATGATTCACATTTCAGAATAGATA